CTAAACTCCCATGTAGAATAACAAGATTAGCTACAATGCTGTGCGTGAGTCTCTGCACGTGACACCGCGGGCGATTGTCTCTTCTAGCCGTCGCCTGAATTTCAGAAGCCCAAGCCAAATTTAAGAAAAGGTCAGGGCACCATAGGATCCAAGAACCAGCTGTCCGGCAAGCCAACGCACCATACGAGCATGGCACTTCCGGGGATTTCACTACAAATATCTGGCCATTAAAGGTCTCAAGCTTAAGAGCAATTCAAGGAACGGATGTGTGGCATCGGCTGCATTGACCACTTGGGCCGGGAATCAAACTTCGCATGAAGCACCGAACAGAGCGCTGCTTCGCCAGGAGACTAGACGCGGAATCATGCCGGAGCGACCCTGCCAGATCGATCCGCTTCGCTGCAAACTCGTCGGTCACTCCAATTGTTCCACCAGAAACGCCTGTGAACTAAACCTCTTTCAGGAGACTTCAGCCTCTTTTTGGACCGCTGCCTTGACCTCTTCGGCGACACCTCCACACCTTGGCACAGCTGCCCAGCAGAGGCAGAACCTCGTTGTGTTGCACTCAGCTCGAAACCGAGCTGAAGCCGCCTTTTGCAAAGGGGCGACGTCCAACTAAGGCATACCTGATGTTGGGCATCTTCGCTTACTACGACCTACACAGACCCAGCTCTTCAGGAAGCGGCTTGGCGTCGAAGAGGGGTGTCGCCGTTGGCTCCTCTGCCTCCGGAGTTTCTTCCGGCCTGGAGGCCAGTCTGTTTACAGCAACGAGTTGGGCAGGTGACCGGTGGTTGGTGTGCTGGTGTGCAATTGAGGTCGCTACGCGGAGATCAGTCCTTCACTGGCTTCTTGCTGTGGAGAGCGCAGGAGCTTCTGGGCACGTTGAGCTCAGCAGAATACGTTCTCACTTTTGTCCCTCTTTTCTGACACAGCTCAGCACAGAGCACAGAGAGCGAGAGAGAGAGAGAGAGAGAGAGATATATATATATATACACATATATATACACTAAGAAGTACTTGATTTCTTTACATCTGCTTGTGCAAAGCACGGAGTTCTTTGCTCAGTCTGTGGCTGCTCCCGGCGCCAGCTTCGTGACTTTGGTCGCTGCTTCTCGGTTAAAGGCTGAGTCTCTGATGAGCCAAACCTCACGGCTTCATCATGCCCCACATAGATTTGGAGAAACTTTCAAACATGTTGAGATTCTGGCGCAGTCACAATCCTGGGACCACGGTATTTGCACCTGATGAGAATCCTGATGGCACGTCTCTTGCAACAGGACGAGATGCCTCACGATCCGGGATGTTCTCCTCCCACAGGAAGCCCTGCAGATGCCACAATGAAGCGGGCGCTATCTTCCGGGGTCTTGGCTCATGATCTTGCCTGTTTGAGCTCGCGGCGATCAAGCACGTATTTATACCTAAATGGCGTGTTGCTCAGCACCAGACGACTTTTCTTGAAGTTGCATCTTAGGATCTAGCTTGAGCACCAGCACAGTGGAAGAGTCTTCAGGCGCACATCTCAACTCGACCTGACCAGCATCGGACGCTCAACCTTGCATTATGCAAGCTACAGTCAATATTTCCCAAGACAATTAATGGGCAGTTCTTGATTAGGGAGTACATTTGGGACTATACTGAATTACAAGAGGGATCCCCATGTCCACTGTTGAGGGTCCCTTAGTCAGGCTAATATTGACAGTAGCTCATGTATGCCTGAACACCTTCCCGAAGAGCCTGTCGAGAGCGCCACACAGGATAGGTTCGCTCGTTTGTTGTGAGGCGGGCTCCCTGGAGCGCTTTGCTGAGATGCAGAAGTATCTACACCACCTTTGATGCAGGCCTTCTCGGGGTCCCATGCTCCGAGCCCCTCATGCGAGCCCACAACGTGCAGGTGCCTCAATGATCGGCTAAGTCTGCCATCCGCGTCACATCCTGTGCTAGAGTCTGGACGAGTCTGGGGTGCTGACTCGCCTGGGGTCGACTGGGCAATGTCAATATGGAAGAATAGTGACAGTGTTGAGCAGGTGCCTCAAAGGAAGCAAGGTAGCGCCGAAGATCCAGAAATCTTGCACAGCCCAAGCGCGAAGCCACAGCGAGTGATCTCCATTTGGCGCTGGCAGCCCATGGCCGGCTACTTGTGCCCGCCAGAGGAAATTGGGGAGCTGTTCAAAGGACAGTGTTGCTCTGCGCCGGAAGCTTGCTGGACTTAGGTAAGTTGATACAGCGCTGCACTATGGCCTAGATCCTCGTCATGTCGATGGGTCTAAAAATCGGACGACTAGCTGCTTCCGGCGGCGAAAACCAGCTCAGCGACCTCAGCATGCAGGAGTCACGGAGTGACGCATTTAAAGGCTCTCATGACTACCTTGCTGGGCTGCAGGCTTCCCAGCTAAACAAAGCGGTGCGCTTCTCAATGAAACCAACGAAGGCCAGCCTTCTGGGGTGACAGACCAGATGGAATTCGAGAAAGAACTGCTTCGAGCAAGTCTGGCATGCAAAAGCAAAAGTGGCAGGGAGCCTGACGTCCCTTTGCACTTCTGTAACAGCGCACGTGTCTTGAGCCGCGCGGGCTGCGCATGAGTCTATACCCAGAGCTGATGCAAATCGCAGAGGACGGCATCCAGCCAAGGTTGCACTTGCCACAAAGTCATCTCTTTCAACGATGCCGCCGAGAGTTGGTTTTTGAAGCGGCATCCTACAAAATGCTACTCAAAACTGCAATACGATGAGAACTTCTCCTGTCCAACCAATTCACAGTTTTGCAAGATACCCTAGTCTTTAGGTTTCCGCGTAATCGAAGCTTCTTTGAGCTCTTTGGCCGCTCGTGTTCGGTTAACCTGAAATCAGGTATGAAAATACATCCAAAACACAATTGCAATCAAGGATTCCATTCTTCTTGCCTCCTTGTCCCAGTCCGGATTCTGAGGATCCAGATCTCGCCCTTCTTCGAAGGCAGCCACTGCCTGTTGACTGCGGGAAACACAGGTACCAACAAAAAGCTGAAACAGCAGCACTGGGCAGACTCCAGCGTGCGAGGGGTTCAGTTCCAGAGGCACTTTTCCAAGGTATCAGTCATGCCAGGCGCCCGGCATCGTCCCAACGGCGAAGGCCACGCAATGCCTGAAGCACTTGGCGGCAAGGCGACCAGACCCTTCCGAAGATCTGAACCGACCTGGCCCTTGCGGTAGTGAAGCTTTGGCCTGGTCAAACACGACTTTGTCGGACGAGCCCTGAGCTCTGACTCTGAGTCTGAGGTCTCTGCCAGGAAGGCTCGATTTCCATCGCAAGGTTTACATCGTCCTGGTCTGGGCAACTTGCCTCTGACATGACAAAACATTCTTCATCGAGCACAGTCCAGGGCAAGCTGGTACTTGAAGATCTTGCAGTACGCAGCACCTGAGGCCATGCTGTGAATCAGCCACAACTGGGTCAAAAAAAACCTTAGGCGTCCCGTTGACGAACATAACTGCTGCTGGGTATGCCGCTGCGATTTGATAGCAGCCTGGTCAGTGCATAAAGTAATGTTTCCAGACAGCTTCGTCTCCGGTGATCAGGCCTTTCATTTCGAGGTGTATGTCGCAGTGCTCTTGTGTAGTACACGATTGCATCACCTTTGTTGCAAGTCCATGCATGATTGTCAGTCTGTCACGGAAGTCCTTAGCTCCTTAGGAGATGACGATAGATACCCTCCTTGAATGCTGCATCCGCCTTTTCTTTCTGCTCATCTGCAAAATCCTGAGCGCGCGAAGGACGCGGAAATGTAGCTGCCTTGCCCCCGATTCGGAGCAGCAGATCTTGGTGTCCAGCATCAGGTGTCCAGTCTGACCGATCAGGGGACTGTTCACGCCTCTGCCAGGTCCAACTGAACATCGTTATCTTGCTCATGCAGCAAGTGGCCTGCGCTGGCGAACCTGCCGCATGACTTCACCCAGCTGTTGATCATAAATGCATGACGCCATTAGCACGCCTCAAACTCTTCCAGTGTACCCTGCGGCTTGTTCAGGACCTGCATGTGAGTAGACAGGATAGAACGTCGTGTTAAGGGCCTGCTGTCCAACCACCAGGTTTCGAAGCCTTACCCCACCTTTTTCGGATTGTTCCCCGCGGACCCTAAAACCTGAACGCATAAGACTAAACGTCGGGTCATGGACCACACAAATATCTAGTCTTCACCCTCCTTCACGTTTGGGGTCCGGTCGGGGTCTGGCAGCCTGGTGACAGGATGTAGACCTCTGGTTGGTTGGGTACTTGAGGTAACGTGTGGTGTGAGTGCGGATGGTGCCATTGCAACTTACAGCTTGGCTCGAACAGGAAGAGCTTGAGACTGTGATTGGACAGAGCATAATTTTTTGTTCTGCAAAACAGGGACTGCTGCAAGTTGTGGGTTCACATCCGACTCCTCTCCCTGACGACACCACACAGGATGGGCATGAATCATCTCTCCATGATATGTTGTGAATGTCAACCCTTTTGCGTCCATCGAATTGGACGCAATATCACTTGCTGCCGGTAAGCCTGACCGCTTGGTAGGTTGAGGACAATCGTCTTTTCTATAAAGGGTAACCCGACCAAAACTGCTTAGAACTCGGATTCAGGGGCAAAAATCTATCATTTAGGGTTATGGTCGAGGGTGTGTGGATGAGGGGCTCAGGTTGAGGGTGGAGGGGTGCCTCCTGTTCCCAAAGATGGCCGCAAGATGCCGCTGGTCAGGTGACATAATCGAAATTCTACAAACTGCATACACTGTGGGAGTCTGATCTTTACCGCCGCGGTGGACCAGGGCCAGGACACGGGAGTCTGCCAAGCGGATATCAAGGCTTGTAAGGCAAATACAAGGAACGTTTGGCTACCTTGCCAATCGCCTGTGCAGAAACGATAAGGGCTCAGAAATGCAAGTTAATCACGAAATAGTAGCACACACCCCTGGGGTGCACGCTGTAGTCCTGCTTGATAAGGCCTTTTGATAGTAATACAAGCACATCGAACGGTCATATAGAAGTGCCTGCTCGTCCGAATGGATGAAGGTTTCCCATTCTCCATACGACTCTGGTGCCTTCCTCAAAGTTACATCCAAGCCTCAGCTGGCATGCCTTCCGCGTGATCCCTTTTTACCTGTGTCAGCAAGACATGCACTCCTTAGAGCAGTGCAAGGGAGTGTCTCCATCGTACCGCGGATGCGATGGCCCTCAACCTCATAACAAAAACATGCCCAAGGCTTTAAAGTTTGAAGCTTCGTTGCTGTGCCTCACGTGTAACAGTCGTAAGCTCCACATCGGTCTGATCCGGAACAACAGCTCCTACAAGTCTAGTTCTTGCAGTTCGAAGCATTGGGAAGCACAAAGTCTGAGCACGGATGCGTGCTCTTTGCTCATTGATCATTGTCTGGTTGGCCACAGATCCAAAGACAGTTCCCAAATAGTACCGGCTGATCAATAGAGCATACCGAAATTTGCCACATGAAGGCATCGTGCTGACAACGTTTGCGCTGCCTGGATTGCAAAGAAAATGTGTTCGCATCCGTTCGCAAAGCTTGAACTTGGTGGTGTTTTTAAGCTTGAGATGGCTGTTCATTTCTGCAGCTCGTCACGTAGCATTGCGGTTGGGAGACGGAGGTGCGATTCCTCGTTGTTGCAAATCGAGGGCAGCAATTTTTTCTCAAATTCCTCTAGGACAGCGTGATTGCGTAAGAACATCCACGAAAACTGCTGCTGCTGCCGAATCTTTGATGCACGCTCACCTGACGAGGTCAAGCAAGAACACAGAAGACAATCAACAAGGTTGGAGGCGCATGTCCTTTGACAAAGCAAAGAATCGCACTACGCTCGGCAATTTCGTGATCGAGACACATGTCAAACGAAAATATCCACCATCCCAGCTCCCGCCAGAGCTACCAGCAGCAGGCCATGCAAGGGGTCGGCAGGCATGCCCTTGAACGATAGAACAAAATGGCGCTTAGAGCTTGGCCCTTGCAGCGTCCAATCGGTGCACATGTAAAGGTATTGCGTATACATATGTAGGTATATGCATATGTATGTTTTGTCCGATTTTTATGTCTTGCGTTGTTCGCAGTTTTGGCGTTGTTATTGTTTGGTTGTCGCGTGATTTGTTCTGTTTGTTGTTTGGTTCGGTTGTTTGTTTCGTTGGTCGCTTGGTGGTTCGTTTCCCTGAGTCTCTGGATATATCAAATTCCGTTGCATACCCCTTATGCTTTCTGCTTACCCTTCCTGGTTTCTTACTATCCTCGCATGCTTCGTCAGCTACTCTCAGGGTGACCAGAAAGGCAAAAAAAAACATAACGTCCAGGCGAATCCAGCAACTTTCCCAGAGTTGCGTGGTTTGCTTCTTTGGTACGCATGTAGTTATACTTGTTGCTTGGAAGTTTGTTGTGTTTGATTGTTTGTTGTTGTTTTTTGTGTGTGTTTTGGTAGTGTAGTGATTGATAGTTGTCTGGTCCTGTGTGGTGCTTCTTCCATTTGTTGGTTTAAATGCCTATTGTTTCGTGTTTGCCTTTTTCTTTTTGTTGTCTTCTCGTTTCTTGACTAAAACATTTTGTTTTGTAATTGATTGTGCAGAATGTGTATGGGACCCCTGGCTGTTCGAAACCCACTGTCTTGAGAATCCTCAGATTTCTTGGAAATGAACCCACACTGAATCCAGGTCACAGGATTACTAATACTAGGAGTATGATGATTTTTGCAAAAGAAAAGCGAGATGATTATCAAGAGAATTCCAGCTACGGGTTACAGCACACAAGGCTATTGCAAAGATGCAAAAGATTAGACAGCGGGATATGTTCAACACAAAAAGGAGAGATACCAAAACGAGGAATGCGTAGTACATGATGAAATGGCACATGGATGAGGAATCGTGCCCATACTGGTAGCATTCAACATTGGGAATCATTAGAGCAATACAGAATTTGGGATGTATTCAACAGGTTTTGAAGAATAGGCATGTCTGCTATACTTGCACCTCTTATGAGTGTTTCGAACATTTTTGAGAAAAGTGAAGTGATCATTTGGAATCTAGATATTACTGAAAGAGTGGAGTTAAAGGTGCTGGAAATAGTAGAAGATTAAAAAAGGCAAGAACATGAGAAACTTCAAGCACATAGCATCAGAGTTGCTGCTTTCGGATGTTCACATCTTGGCATAATGGGAAAAGAATGAGAACATGCGGCTGCAAATCAAGGGAATGTTGGGGACCTCAAAGCTCGACGCATTAGGACTGTGAGGAATGTGATTATGAGGGTTCCTGCGAATGCCGACATTATCCAGAATACCACGTGTGCTGAGAGCGCAAGGAACACATGGAAGTATGTAAACATGGTAAGTATAAGATGAGCTAATTATGAGATAAGTCCTGTGTATCCTGGTCGGATTTGGGATCAGTAGAGCTATACAAGATATGGGAAGATGTTTAAAAGATTCTGCAATTTTTGTGAGATTGCGAACATTTCATAATCAGGAGTATTTGGAACTCCCATAAGACCCAAACAAAATCATGCGGAAGATTTGGAATGCTAATCACGTGAGAAGCGCTAATAATATCAGAACATGGGAGTTGTATAAGATATTCGGTATATAGAAAACAATCAGGGAACTTTGGGCACATCAAAAACCACTACAATGAGACGTATTGGGATTGTGAATGTTATGAGGACCAAGTTCTTGCAAATACTGATATTTTCAGAATACCAAATGTACTCAAGCATAAAGAGTAAGTGGAATTTCCAGAACATGGCGAATGTGTGAGAAATCTTGTGCGTGCTGGTAGCATTGAGATCAGTACGGCAACACAAGGTGTGCAAAGAATTCAATGTATTTCAGACTAGACGATGTCTGTCAGTTTGTGCTTATTTCAAGTATATGGAAAACAAGGAGTACTAGGAATTTAACTAATATTTCAAAATTACAGGCTAAAGATATTGAGAACACTGGAAGATAAGCAGTGAACACAATTCGTGACGGGTAAGGAATGTCAAAATGTAGGATTTGCATGACTTGTCGGGCATCTGGTTCAAAAGCAGACAAGAATATGACACAAAAGCGGGGGAACAGCGAGAGAATGAGCACTTGGAATGTCAAGGATGCTTATACATGGAAATATGGTGAGTTGTGAGTTATGCGGAACATTAGGATTACGAGGACTCCTGCAGTTCAGAATATGATCTACGCCCCTCTCCCCTTACCGTACGTAATCTGAACTTTTGTCATGAGATATTGGTAATTATTTAGGGCCTGCGGCACGGGCCGGCCTGGCCGCCACCCCCCTTGCCCACCCAGCTCTTCTTACCTGGTATGCTTTGTAGGTTTTGAAGACCCTGATCTCTCTAGTTGAACTGAAAATCGCCAAAAGTGGGGTCCCAATTGTGCTGATGATGTTCCTGTACGAGGCGCGCGCGCGTGCCTCGTACAGGAACATCAGCTGCACAATTGGGACCCCATTTTGGCTTGATTGGGAGCAGAAGGGGTCAAAAACCCAAGCAAAACCATCAAAGATGACTTTAGACACGGTTCTTTGTGCAGGCTGACCATGTTCTAGCCCACAATTGCATTTCACTGGTTTTTAC